CTGGCCGCCTGCCTCGGCGGTGATGAGCTCGCCGTCCCTGCGGATGGCTCTGCGCTCTGCCCTGCGTGTCCCTGGCCTCCTCCGCTGGTCTGTGGTGCGTGTGGAGCGCTGTGCCTGGAGCAGGGGGTCTGGGAGCCCGAGTCCTCCGGGAAGAGACCTCTGCTCCCTTTTCCGTTCCGGTTACGCACCAAGTCGCCGTGATGTCTTTTGTCAGTTAGGAAGCATAAAAGGGGATAAAAACCCCAACAACCCAAAAGCAAAAACAGAACGTAACAGTAGAATGCACCAGAAGAAGTTGTGAAAGGTCTCTGTGTTGTAAGATGTTTTAGGACTTTGAAGTATTCAAAACAATAGTATGTTCTGCTGGCCAAGAAACGCAAACGGTGTTTTGGTTATTGGGGAAATTTTTTAAAGACCTGTTAATTTGAGATAAGGCCTGTTGGTAAGGCTCATGGATGCTGTTTTTTTAATAACTTTAGTTTTCTAGTAATTGAGTCAGAAAAAGTCTTGATGACCCCATAAGAATGAGATAAAATGGAGCAGGAGAGGGGGAATGATAATACCCAACTTCATATTTGAATCCATTGCCTGGAAGAGAAGATATGTTACTCGATTTATCCAGTAAGGGGGACCGACTGAAAAAGTGCAGTGCTCTGCAGTGTTTTGGTAAACTGTCTTCTGTAGGTTTGGTAAGCATATTTGGGATGTAGCTCAATTACATATTGTGTACTTAAATTCCCAGACCTCCTGGACTCTTTGTCAGTGTAATACAAGCACAATTTTTACACGACAGTGAGGTTCTTGGAAGGAGTGGATGATAGTTATTTCTACTGTTCATCATGTGGTTTTATTTTTTTTGTTTTCCAGGACTAGCACTTGAGCGAGAGGTTGGTCTAGATGACATTTTGATGTATTATCCAAACAGAATTCTCTAGTTCAGTTTGGCCATACTAAAGACTTTGCTAGTTATTACTGTTAGCACAACAGCCAGCTGTAGCGTCATTATATCAGTGATATAATTGCATCCTCAGGACTTAGAAGCTGAGAAGGTTTTTCTCAGCTGTGACTCTTGATTGCTTTGAAATACTTTGATGGTAAACACATAGCAAAAGGATATGACCCAATGTTCCAGTTCAGAAATGGAATTGAATTACCTCTCCATCAAAGAAATAACTCTAAATTTAAGTGAAATTATTTATCTTGGTAGTTGTGAATAATTTAATTGGAAATGTTTGTATGAGTAAGGCAATAACACACTTTCAGGTGAGTCAAGATTAAAAGTCTCTTCTTCTGGAGACATGGACTTAATTTCATTCTTTGTGTGCAGTTCTTATGATTGCAGTGAATATTCAATGTGCTAGAAGGTTGCAATTCAACATAAAAGGATGGAGGATCATAATTCAAAGATTTTTTTCTGACAACTTTCAAGAAGATATTAAGCTTGGGTGCTTTATGTAGAGGATCAATTATTTCTTATTGTTCCTTCTCTGCTTTTTATTCTTAAGTATAATTTAAAATGTGATTATAAACTTTTTTAAAGCTATTGCAGTGAACATGCCCTTCTCAGTAGCACATATGTAACGTTGGAAATATTAACTGGTCAAATTTACAGACTGAGATTGCAACTAAAATTGCAGCAATTGAAGCTTACTTTTTCTGAAGTCTACTTTTCAACTCTGTACTGCTCTATGTTGACATATGCTGTATGCTTCAGTATGACTTGACCTGATAAAATTATTTGCTGCTGCCAGAAGGGGTGGTATCCTTTGTCCTGGCTTTATGACCTCTCTCTTTAGAGCCTTTTGACTGTGCGTAGCCAGCTTGACTTGCTAAACGGACAGGAATCAAATTTGACAAAATCTATGTGGGTCTCTTCAAGATTAGCAAGTTAAGTGAGATTTGTGGTGGGCCTGGTGAGTCTTAGAACACGGTGGATGGTAGAACTGTTCTGGATGAGAAGAAAGAGGAAAGAAAAGAAAACTAAATTCTTTCTCCTGGCAGTAGATTCACTTTTTAAATGGAACTTTTATTTTGGGGAAGTAGAAAAGTTACTTTTAGCTTGGATTACTTAAGTGATCAGACTCACAATGCTCATACTTGAGGGGAATATGCTGTTAAAAAAACGTGACTGAGTACCTTAGTCTGCCTGCCAGAAATCTGGGATGGTCCACTGTGACTTCTGTGGTTCTTTCAGAACTGATTGATTTTGAGGATCCTTATTCCCAGTCGTCATGTCATTATTTTGACAGCTGAAATTTACCACAGCATTCAGCTACTCATTCAATGTAAGCTGGATTTCTGAAACAGCTGTGCAGGTTTTGGAGGCTGATTGTTCATTAAATTTTGCAGACCCATGTATTAAGGTAGTAATGATGTGTGCTGGAAGTGAGTGGCTGGCGATGAAACTGCAAGAAGAAAACAACGGTCCTCTTAAACTGCTACATGTTAAAAGAGTGGCAGTGTAGAACTAGAGCTTAAAACAAACGTTTAGACTTATAGAAAAATTGTTCTCTGGTAAGGAATTGTGAATTCTGATTGCTTTCTATGTTTAAAGAAGTTAATAATGGTAATTGGAGTAACCTAGAGTGAAATATTTATAATTAGTGTGTGTTGCTTCTAAATATCTAAAGACATTAAACTTTTTGCTTTTTAGAGTGAATATGCATGAACGAGTGAACAGAACAGAGAGGCAGTTTAAATCTCTTCCAGCTAACCAACAGAGTCTCCTTCCTCAATTCCTTCCTCACCTTGACAAGATTCGGAAGTGCATTGATCATAATCAAGGGATACTAAACACCATTGTGAATGACTGCGTTCATATGTTTGAAAATAAAGAATATGGTGAAGATGTATGTTTAAAAGGATTTTTCATACTACAGAACTAAATTTTGTATGCTTTGGGATTTTCTACATTTGTTTTCACACTTTTAAGCCTCCAGCTTTATTTCCTGTTGCATTCTTTATTTCCTCCTTTCATGCTTTCTGTTCACTTAACATTTTCTCACTCTGGTCTTTCACATCTTGTAGAGCTGATATGGAATAAAATAATTTGTTGTTAGTCCTTGTATTTACACTTCTGAAATCATAAATCTAGCAAATGACAGTAATCATTTATTGTAAAAAACCGTATGTTTTGGTTTTTTTTGACTTGGGACTTCTAGCTTTACCCTGGTTACATTTTAAAGTTTTTTTCAGTTAACTGTATAGAGCATAAACAGTACTGCCTCTCTTACTGTAGGTTATTATACAGTATGGTGTTCCAAATCAGTTACAATTTTAGATAGGCTAAGTATTTTTAATGATCTCATATGTAAAATCTTATTCACTACTTAATTGGTTTTTTTTCAGTGTGGCGTCTATCAAAAAAAAGTTATGCTCAGGCTTGAAAGACCAGTAGAGATGGAAACTGAAGTCCTTTATTGACAGGCAAGATACAGTAATGGGCAGTTTTAATGGAAGCTTCTCAGTGTTGTCTCATGAGTACCTAAAGGGATTCTCTTCTCAGGGTAGGCAGTTCACCCACTGCACTAGCTAAGACCTGATACTTTCCTGGATAAGGACTACCAGTTGTGCTCTGCTATGCTGTACTGTGTAGTGAGGTTTTTTTATGGAACTTGGTCTCTTGGGTGCCAAACTGAGACCAGCAAGCTCAGTTTAGGGTTTTGGGTTGGATTTAAGCCCTGGTCCAAGGACGGGAAGGCGAGTGCTTTGTCAGCTGAAACTACCAGCAGCTCTTAACAGCATCGCTTTTTTCTTTTTACAATTCACTTTTTTGTTTTTCCCCCAAAACTAAAGATACTTGGTATGTTTTCCTCTAACTTCTTTTTTTCTCCTTCTGCTTTAATCAGGGAAGAGGGAAGATCACACCAGCTTCAACATTTGACATGGATAAATTAAAATCAACTTTGAAACAATTTGTGAGAGACTGGAGTGAGGAGGGAAAGCCTGAGAGAGATTCCTGCTACCAGCCAATCATTAGTGAAATTGTTAAGAACTTTCCAAAGGAAAGATGGTAATAGTGTTCTAAGTCTTATTTCTATGTGGACGTACACTGTTGCATGAGTTGTTATGGAGTAATGAAAAGCTAGGATTTCAAAATACAGAAATTACTGTGAATGCATTGGAATTTATTTTTAATCAAGGAAGCTTTTGTCTCTAGTACAAGGTATTGGAGAAGTAACTGTAAACAAAGGAAACGAAGTAAACCAGAAATATTTTTTTTTTTTTCCTTTCTGCACCTTGATGTAATGGGATATCTGTTAACTTCTCAAGTAAGAGACTTCAGGAGGTTGTGAATTTAATTCAGTTGTGCTTAGTGATGTAAAGTTTGAGGGTCAGCAGATTCTCAGAATGCGTGTGCTGCAGGTAAAAGGAAGGACCCTTGTGACAGCAGCAATTAGGAGTATTGGCCTTCGTGGTGGAAGAAGGAAGAAGACTTAACCTCTAGTGAAGTTTTACAGCACTATGAGTTTACCCTGCAAATACTTAATTCTGGCTTTGGTTTCAGTCAGTATGACAAGGCAAGTCTTAAAAAACCTTTGCGGCGTGTGTGTGGGTAGCTTATAACTGTTGGCTTGTTAACACCACCAAAATAGTCATAGTGTGGGTTTTTTTCAGGTAGCTAAGTAGAAATATATTGGTAGAATCTCAGAAGGTACTACCGCTATAAGAATTCTGTGTTTAATGGTTTTAGTCAACCCAGTACATAAAGTACATAAAGTACATTTCAGTTTAAACTTAACACTCTTGTATGGGAAAATTTTTGAACTTCGTACTCATAAATGTAACATGTCAGAGATTTGATGTATCTGAGTGTTTGATATATCTGGTTACTCTGAGTTTTATTCTTTCTCAGTAATTGCTAATAGTACACTTGTACCAAATGAAAAATACCTTCTACTAGCCATCTTTTAATTTTCATTATTAAAAACTGTTAGTGTTGGCAGAACCTGGAGTGGAGGTGGTTGATTTATCTTTTGCCTTGGGCTAACTTATTGCAATGTGGTTGTATCACGAAAAATTCTGTACCTGAAGGTGAACTTCCTGCAATATTTTAGTGCTAAAAGTGCTCTACGTAAGATAGAAATGAATTCAGTACTGCAGGTTACCTGATGGACCTCTGATGTACAGATCTATAGGAAGAGTTGTAGTTAGTTTTGAAAGTAATCATTGTAATCTTCAAGGTAGCACTTCACCTTTTTCTTTCTATGCTACCTTTTGAGACATTTTGGTTGTAGGAGAGGTAACATGTCAGGATTTTAAAGATATGTGACTGAAGTTGGAAAGTCTTGACTTACGTTTATCATCAATGAACTCTATTTCTGAACTTCCAGTTGGTATTAGGAGGGGACACGTAACAGATTGAGTGGATCTGAGGATGACAGCTTTGTGGTTCTTTACCAAGAATTCTGGTGGTCGTTGTTGTCAAACACAATTAGTGTGACAGTGTTTCTGTTGCTGGTTTTTGAAATACTAGGTTTTTGGGTTGTTTTATCTCTACAGAAATCTCAAAGCACCAATGTATAGATATAATATCTCTACTGCAAGTTTGAGCTTGTCAAATGAAAATTATTTGTAAAATGTTTACTGCATACATATCTCTTTAAAAGCTTAATAGTCATCATCATTATGAAGCTGTCGTAGCATTTATGTAAAACCTTTTCTCTGTTCATATATTGTTACTTACTGTCCTCAGCTTGCTCTTTTTCCTAGTTACTGGAGGCTCTTCTGCTTAGGAGTGCTTACCTCTTTAAGGCAAGAAGCAGAGTCATTCAGAAAGGCCGGGTTCTCTTTGTGTGTTACCAGGCTTAATTGGCAGTTGTCTGTAGGAGAAGTAACTCCCCTGGCAGGGCAGGCTGGTTGGTCAGTTTGGTTCCTCTTTTAGAGTTTTGGAGGGGATCAGTTGTTTCAGTTTGAAGGAGTGGACAGGGCCTGAACTGGCTTTTACTCTGGCTGTTGTGTTTAGTGAGTACAAAGCCCATTTCCTCCAGAGTGGACTTGCTGTGAATGCTAGTGCAAGAAAACAAGTAGGTGCAACCTCAGAGTGCAGCTTTGCATTTCTTTAGAGTTCCCTTTTTGTAGCACAGACTGCTGAAGTCTCCTGAGATGATGAAAGTGCTAGAGAAAAAGTGTACTCTTGGCAGCTTTGCCTAGATTTATTTTGTATTGAAAAAGATTAAGAAGTTAATATTTTAAACTGTCAGTATAAGTCACCTTTTACTTTATTAATAGCTTCAGTTTCTACATTTAGTTTCTAGTTAACATTGTTAACATTTTATTTGTCATGCAGTGGAATCAAAAATTAAATTTTTGAAACTAGTCAAGTATGTTTTGCTCTGTGCAAACATTTTGTTTTGTTGCTCTTCTTTGCAAGACTGGCCTGCACTAGTTCAGCTGGTATGCATAGAATAGAAAAAGAAGTAAGTGCTCTGTTGGACTTGCTTGCTCTGTGCTTGCTCTTTGGGAAGCAGAAGAGATGTAAGTAATGGTTGAAAGCAGCAGTAAATTATAACAGTCTTGTAGGTGCTACTGTTGTGTTTGAGTCCAGTCTTCTGACAAGACTGTCTAAAAGGCTGAAGCCTTTTCAGAAATAATTCCTTCTTTCTGTTTAGCACCTTAACACAGAATCTGTTAGTAGGATCAACAGCAGTTTTAAGCAAAATTCCATGAGATAAGGTCTTCCTGAAGAACTTACAGCTTTCTTGCATTATTCATGTTGGAATTCAGTTGTATTTCAGCTCACAGGGTCTCTATAATACTGTCTAATTTTTGATGAAGCCATTTAAGTTATTTGGATTTCCTGAGTCTGAATGAACCATGATCACTGCTTTCTCTAGGAGAAAATAGTGCAACATATATTTTTTTTTAATGGAATGTGTTTGTTAAAGCATTTTTTTGGGGAAAAGCATTAAGTTAAAAATCTAAATAAGCATACCAATATTTTCTTTTCTAACTCCTTTTCTTCTATTGTCTTGATTTTCTTTTACTTTCCTACTTAATGTCAAAGGATGTAAAGATCATCAGCTTCTTGTCCAAAAAGTAAAGAAAGAACTGGTTAACTGTTTCGTTAATTATCATTCCGTGGCCAAAAATAGGTAATCTCTCAAAGTTTTCTTTTATTTATTAACTTGACCTATATCTTTAGATTTCAATTTATCATGCTGTCTAGCAATTGATTGCATTTTCCAAGATACTGTCGGGACAGCACAAAAGAATTCACAAGTGCCTAGTTTCATTTTTTATTGAAGAACATAGTTTATTAGTCCTATTCTTCTTGCATGTTCTCTGTCACATTTATAGTCATCATAAAATTTCTGCATTATACAAATTTTTTTAAATTTTTTTAATATAAAATACACCTGTCCTTGCAGGGTTTTTAATCTCATCAAAAAATTGTATTTGATCTAAACTTTGCTTTAAAAGTTGGATTTAAAAGCTATCTATCTTCAGTGTTACTGGAGTCACCTGCTTTGTCCACCATCTTCTACTTTCTTCTGGCCCCTTTCACTTCTGGCACCCCCAGCATGGCAAACAAGATCCAGCCTTGGCCACCATAGGAGCAAATACAAGCAAGAACCCTTCTGCATTCCAGTCCCTGGTAGTAACTGTAAACATCAGGCATTGTCACCTCTAGTAGCAGACACTGTTAACTTCAGAAAGTGCAGCCTCTCGGAGGAGACTGAGCTGAAAAGTAAAATCGCTAAACAGAATTGGTTCTTTTTAGCTCAAATCAGGACAGATACCTATTTGTGTTCCTAAGCAATGTTGTGTCTGTGTCATAGAAATTCTGCTGCTGCTGACTACTTCAAACTGTTTCATAATTTCAGTGTGGATAACCTTGGATTATTATCAGTTATCACAGTTCTCATTTTGTTTTTTTTTTTTTACCTAATTTTTTTTGCTATTGCTGCAATGGTGTATCGACCAAAGGAAAGCAAGTTTTTCTAGTCTTTTAAATTATGACTATAGCCTTTAAAGCAGCTTTTGTGCAATTAATTTATTTTATTTTAGGATGTACCTTGGTTTTGGGATGAATAAAGCTGCAGATTTTGAAATGTGATTATGTCCACATAGCTATTAGTTACTAGGTTGTTTTAAGAAAAGTGTCTTTTCTAATCAATGTATGATAAACTTTGAAGTGGCATAATGGTTTTCAACCAACTGATTTTAGAAGTGTCCCCATGGGAGTGCAAAATCCTGTGTAGAGCTACTGTAAATATTTCATAAATAAATTACAAGGAAATGAAGAAATACATCAGGTTAGATAGACGTTTAGAATGACAGCGTACAACTATGAATAGAAATAGCTGCATGAAAATGGGATTTTCTTCATTCTCCTTCTGATTACCTGTTTTCAAAAATCTCATCTTGACCAAGTAGTTTTTCTCTGAATTAATATTTTATTTTTTCAGAACTTCCTGGCTAGCTTTCTTATGGCTTTCCTTGTAGAAGCAAGATAGTAAGACCTGTTACTTCACAGGAGTGCTCTTAAGTAACAGTAAAGACTTGATTTCTTGCTTCTTGTTAATCAGAAAACAAAGAATCTGAAAGTATAATGGAATGGAAATGAAAATCAGGAATGAGAAGAACTTTGCTTTTCATTTGGGAGACCTCACTAATCAGATCATTAAGCCACAAACCAAAAGGCACTGTTAAAACTGCTTTGTTAGTTTGTGTGCCCTTTAGAAAAGAGTAATGATTTCTCTTGGTTTTGAGTAATAGCCTTCAGCATTTTACTACTTTTTCAGAGTTTACTTAATTCCTTCACTCATCTTCGTGCTTATACATCATGATAACTCTTTTTAACCCTTTTTGGCATCATGAGAGGTTTTTTTTAATGTAGTCAAAGACTTTGCATTTTGCTTTCTTTCGTTGAATGTTTGGATCTGCATTTAGTTGATACACATATATTTTGTCTTTGAAGGTAAAATGTAAAAAGGAGGGTAGCCTTTATGTTCACACCTGGTGGTTTGGGATATGAAATGATGAAGTCTTGTTCATAAAACTGGAAATTGAAAAATTTCTTTTTACATTAAGTATCTTTTCAGTTCGGTGTGGGCGTGGCTTTTGTTTTATGAGTGACGGTTTGATTGTATTATGATAAAAATGTTTAGAATGTGTATATGTTGCCTTTTCTCCCTGAAGGAGGAGAAAATGTTGAAATTCTTGGTTCTTTTATTAGTTGCTGAACTTGGAAGATGGGAGAGGTTGTTCTAGGTATATCAGTAAACACACACTACTTGATATCTTCTGGTCATCCTCAATTTGATGCCTAGTTACGGGAAGCAAAGGGTTAGAAAGCTGCAGTAGACTTCAATTTACTAAATCTTACATCAGTGTGCTTTAGTGAAATTCGTTAACAGTGTTTGTTAAACAATTACTGAGAAGGTAACTACTTGAAGATTTTTACAGGCTGAATCGCTCATCGCTTATGTAAGTTTTAGTTTTATGTTTCTGATATCACCATATTTGTTTATTTTTCATGCAATGTAACTAAGAAGATTTCTAGAATTTTTACTAATTATCAGTGAGCCTAACAGAAAAATAAATGGTGTTATGTCATAATGTTCTTTCTTCAATTGACTTAAATTTATTTGCTTTATAACTACAGGTTTTCAGAAGAAGTTTGTAGTTATGCTCTGTATGCTGAATGAGGGTTGTGTATTTTCTTTTGAGTCATACCTGTGAATTATTTTGACTGTACAGTTAACTAGTCTGATGAGAACTGGCTTGATTTGCATTTAAAGAGTAGTCATACAGGAAATACATTATAATATCTACGCATATGGGGGAAAAATGTTTGACTGGACCTCTGCAAATTTTGTTAAGAGGTATCAGATAAAGACTTAACTATTATTTTTGTTCTGTTGCAGGGATTTCTCCAAAGTTAATATCCTGGTACCTGGTGCTGGGCTAGGTAGATTGGCGTGGGAAATAGCTATGCTCGGTTATGCTTGCCAAGGAAATGAATGGAGCCTCTTTATGCTCTTTTCTTCTAACTTTGTTCTCAACAGGTACACAGCTTATGTTTTACTTGCTGATTGAATCCTAGGGAGGCAAAATTATGAATGAGAAAAGCTTGAATAAATAGGAACAGATTTTTAAGTGCTGAAACAAGACACAACCACTTTTTCGAATGTTTTAATGAAAAGAAAAAAAAAGTGGGATAAATGGGAGAGGGAACCATTATGTCTGCGTCATCAAAGTTATAGTGGAAAGCATGGCTTTTAAGTTAGGAGATCTAAAATTTCTGGATTGTACCACAGATTTTCTGCATAATCTGAATGGGTACTATGATTTCACATCTGCTTGTGAAAAATGCAGACCTATCTCACTGCTGTCAAATGTGGACTAGTTAATATATGCATGGTAATTAGTGGTGGTAATTAGTAACAGAGAGGAAACCTGTTAAAAACATGCTACATTCCATACTAATATTTTAGACACTGTTTTGACATGAAAAACAAGCACTGAAGGACACTGAACCACTTCTTAAGTGGCTAAAATAACATAGTTAATAGTTCTACAATTATGCTGAGGTATTAAATTTGAATGTAATAAATCTCACTTTTATTGGCTTAACTTAGTGACATTTCTGTATTTGATATGCTCCCACTTGCATTGGAAATTACTGGTTTCATGATGAGCTTGTTAGGAAAGGAGGCAGCAAATGCAACTGTTTTTAAGAAAGAGGATGGGAAGATACGTGGGCGGGATGGGAGATCTGGGGTGGTGTTTTGTTTTTTGAGGGTGTTGGTTTGGAGAGGCAGAATTTTCCAGTTCAATCAGAAACAATACACCTAAGCACCTGAAATCACCTAAACTATTGGCTTGTATTGTATATTATCATGATACTGTGGAGCCTTGTTTGTAGACTTACTGTTCACAGGGTGCACCAGTGATCTTAAATCTGCTATAGTTTACTGTCCAAAACCAAGGTGGAGTTACTGTTTATTATGGCTGCTGCATGTCTGCTTAAAACTAGTGATGCAAATACGTATTTGCTAGATGTTTATTTGCTCTTTTTCTTGTGTTTTTTAAATGACTGATCTGGTGGTGAAAGTGCCTATTACAGTTGAGCTGATCTAACATCTTGCAGCTACTGAGAGGAGGTCACATTCTTCTCATCCTTAGCTATATGGCCCTGGTAGCTTGTAAGCTTTTTGGAACTGCTGAAATTATTCAAAGTAGCATAGAAGTATGCATTTCCCATCTTTGGAAGCATTGATCAGCTGTCAAAAAGGTTCATATCTGAAAGTTAACTTCATCTCTGACTACCTCTAATAACGTGGTTTTTGTCTTCCTGACATAATGATCCTTTGGACTATATATTGAATTCCCCTAAAGATCCATGCTTAGTTTGCGATGGTAATCATTCTTGGCATGTAATGCTCATGTGGTGTTTCCTGTTAGCAAGGAGGTATACATGGTTTAGAGTTGCTAACAGAATTAGATTTTATACAGAAATATTGACCATTGCTCAGATGATATGATCTTAATCTTTGCTGGGCGAGTTATCAGTTACAAGTTTCCTTATCAGCATGTAACAGAATACTGCTAATTTGACTGAATTTCAGTCAACTCAGTTGAAGTCCAAGCATTTCTTTCTGCTGGATCTATCTGTAGGCTTGGGTTGTCTATTACAGAGTTTTGGGGGACTTTGGACCTTCCATTTTAGTCTTAAGTGGCTCTTTCCAGTTAGCCTTATGAAATAGCTATGGTTGGCTTCCTGGAACAGGATAAAACAGCTATAATCAGTATGAACTGAAGATAGCAGTTAAGGAAGAGTGGTAAGAACAAAGCATTTTGCAAATTAGTTTTTAACTATAGTCTTAACTAATTTTTGTTTTGAGTTGATAAAAGCCTGAGGATTTTGCAAATGTGCTTACAGTTTGGATATACCTTCTTTCTCTGACCTTGGTTTATTTTTAGGAAGACCAAGTACTGTCTTGAGTGTCAAGCCAGCTACACAGTGGGCTACCAGATGTGGTACAGTGACTTAAGACTTCTGTGCACAAAGAGGGGTCTTCTTTTAAATTGTGAACTTTGCTACTCTGCATAAAGTTGCGTAGCATGTTAGAATGTGTCAAGGCATAACTGTGGTCTAGAGGAAGCTCTAACTTGAAAACAAAGTGACCCTGGAGTAGTTAAGCTACAATGGCTCTAACTCTCTACAGTCCTTATATGGGAAATCGTGCTTTTTCTTGTATGGGTAAGGTTCTTATTGCTTGGATTTTTTTCTAGTATTCTGGATATAGTTACAGATGACAGAGGTGATCATTGGTGATGTAGAGAAGTATTTTATTTATTAAATGTTTTGGAAAAGCATAATTAGTTTTTCTGCCTCAGGAAAGCATAACTAAGTTTTCAGGCAGTCTAGAGCTCGGGACATGTTACTTCCCTCTGACACCCGACGAGTTGTGTCTGTGGACGAGACAGGAGCAGCTGTTTGCTTACTTGCTGGTTTTGCAGCTGGAGATTTGAGCACAAGGTCAGTAGCCTGGATCCAACCGTCCTTCACTAGCAGTAGTACCACTAAGGAATATTTGAGAACATTCAGTTGAAGAAATATAACATCACTTAGTACACCAGTCAGAGTAAGGTTAGTTTTAAAAAGCATTAATTAATACTAGAAGAATTAATGCTAATAATTGGCTGTCTTTACTTTCTGGAAAGAATGGACACTTCGTATTTGTTCTGTGTCCATGAAAGCCTTAGGATGAAAACAGTTAAGCATTTTATCTTCATATCAGTGGTCAAAAGTAAGATTTGCCCTGCTCATCTTTTCCAAAACAGTGGTTTTGACTGAATACTGAAGAGTAAATGCCTTGCCCTTACAGAAGATAGTGAAGTGCACTGCACTTAAAGATGTTATATTTATTGAACACATCTTACATCATTTGTCTTCTGTTGGACAGGTGGAATTGCAGAGGACTACAGTACTTAGTTTTGAAGTATAAATTAATGAAGCTGGAAAGGGAGCTTTTCAAGCTTGAATATGGAGGGGGATTGGTCTTTTATATTAAATGGAGATTTCCTTTTGGAGTTATTAATATACAACATTTGGCCAATGTGGGGGATTTTTGCTGATGAGTTTCTTTCGTGTTTTTTGGTTGGTTTGTTGGTTTTGTTCTTTTCTCTTTAACCAAAATACAAATGCTGTTCTTGAAAAAAACTATGTCCATATTATCAGAGGTTTTCCCCTGCTTTATTTTCCTTTGGCTGCCTGCGTAGCTCTGACATTTATCGATTATATACCGAGATAGCTGATGATGAAGGGAGTGGAACATCTCCCTTATGAGAAAAGTCTGAAGGAGCTGGGTCTCTAGCTTGGGGAAGAGGAGACTGAGGGGTGACCTCATAAATGTTTATAAATATATAAAGGGTGTGTGTCAGGAGGATGGAGCTAGACTCTCCTCAGTGATGCCCAATGATAGGACAAGGGGCAACAGATACAAGCCAGAGCACAGGAGGTTCCACAAAAACATTAGGAAACACTTTTTCACTGTGAGGGTGACAGAGCACTGGCACAGGCTGCCCAGAGAAGTTGTGGAGTCTCCTTCTCTGGAGACATTCAAAACCCGCCTGGACGCATTCCTGTGTGACCTGCTGTAGGTGATCCTGCTCTGGCAGTGGGGCTGGACTCCATGATCTTTTAAGGTCTCTTCCAGCCCCTAACATTCTGTGATTCTGTGAGTGCAGTATTCTCAAATACAGGTTACTTTTTGGGATTTTTTTGTTTGGTTTTTTTTCCTGATAAAATGAAATATACATAACATAGAGAAAGTAAAAAAAATGTTGCTTCAGAGGCTTTACCACAGATGTTTTCTATCCACCAGCCAAAAGAGTGTACTTTCTGTAACCTGGCAGATGGCTTGCAGTTAGTTGTTAGATGATATGTATTTGGTGGGACAGGTGTGTCCTCTGTTGTCTCTGAAAGGAAATGGCTTTATTTTTTAATTACAGACTGATTTTACAGGACTTTGGGAGAAGCCGTGGGGTTTTTTTTAATGCTTCCATGCTATATTTTATCACTTTTTTAAAGTAAGAGTTGACTTGGTTAGTCATGTCAACTCACAAATTTATTTTTACAAAGACATGTTTACTTAGCATAATTGCAACACTCCAGATGTTACTAACTTAAAATGACCACGAGTGGCTCTACTTTACAAAATAGAATTATTTAATTTTTGAAATCTAAAAGCATGCTTCCAGTTACCATCTGAAAAATGCTATCTTTTGCTGTGCTTCAAAACCCTTATGTTTATGGATGAGTTGGGAATGAATGTTTCCAACAAAATTAGTTGAACTAATATTACTTTTTTTGGTTGTTTTTTAATAGAAAAAGTATGATTCAGAAAGGCTTAGCTTTACTGAACATACTAAATCATAAATTTCACTAGTTGGAGAACATGGTAAAAGTGGGAAATCTTTTAGATTAAAATGTTAGTTATTTTATGGTGATAATTTGTGTAAGAATAAAATTGGAGTTTTGATCAGTTCATAAATTGATGGGCAGTCTAAAGTATGAACTTGATAAAAGTCCTTTAGAAAACATGTAGCTTTTACAAGAACTTTATCAACATGACAATGGATGTTGGTGAAAGTCTGTGAATCCTACATTTCTAGATAATAGATAAGCAATCAGATGAAACTGAATTGTGCTGATTTCTGTATTTTGCAGATGCTCTGAAGTTAACTCATGTAAGCTTTATCCTTGGATTCATCAGTTTAGCAATAACAGAAGATCTGCTGATCAGATACGTCCAATTTATTTCCCTGATGTTGATCCTCACAGTCTTCCTTCTGGTTCAAACTTCTCTATGACAGCAGGGGATTTTCAAGAAATTTATTCTGAGTGCAGTGAGTAAATGTAAACTTCTAAGCTATCAGTGTACCTGTATCTTCAGAGTATTTATATGAGTATATGAGACAGTTCATGAGTACAAATAGAAGGGAACTACAAAGATATTTTTGTTCCAAATCAGTGTTTTGTTTCTTTTTAGTTAAAAAAAAAAAAATGGACACCTCATTGCCTAACAGATGTTTGTTGCAGTAGTCTCTTTCATAGTAAGACAGCATAGTAGTATTATGGGAAGTTTTACTTGATTTAGAAAAGTGGTATCAGAAAGGGAAAAATGTAACTAGTCACTTATTTAGTGTAAAAAAAAAAAATGAGAATTTGTTTTGCTTTTACAGCAGAAAATCAACTAGAAGTGTGTCAGTAATAGTAAATCATAAATAAAAAAACATAGTTATTCACTGTCAATAGTAAATATTGCAGAGGCATATTATGGGGGTGATTATCAAGGATTGAGACTGTATTTTTTTTCTTGTGATGTCAGGTTAGTTGCACTGTCCTCATTGCACCTATGAAGTACCATTTTATGACTAACCTAGTGTTGAATTAAGTTGCAGAGGACTGTCTTATTTAGTGCCTACTCTACCAGTTACATATTTAGCATTTGATCAAGGATGGCACTTAGACAGTTCTTTTATATATAGTCTGATGTATGCCTATGTAGAAGTGACTATTTTTTTCCCTAGTAGTGGATTATCACCTCAGACATAATATTTTCTGTTTCCACCTTTCTTGGAGGAGCCTGATGTACAGTTGCTTAATTTTCTGTCTTACAGATTAGGTTCTGTCTCACATTAGAACATCTGATTGAGACTCTCTTTTTATTAGCAGAACTTCTGCAATTTCAAGAATACGTTTTAGAGAAAAAAATCATACTTGAAAACATAGATTTTGAAAGATCCTACTTGGTAATTAAGTAGTAAAAACAGCTAGAAAAATGATTCAGATACTGAATGAAGTGTTTTACAGCTTAAAATCACTGGATATTTTTGCAGTTGTATTTTTAACAGTTGTGGTAATGAAGCTTATAGGACAGGTGAGGTATAGCACACTTGAGCCTTCATTTATATAAAATTGTTATAATTTTTACATTTTACCGTATATAATACACCACCTTATTCTATATAATGCATGTGAACAATTTTATAAAGTTAATATGTAGAATATTTTTAGAGTGCGTGTATACACACACATATATATAGGTCACATAAACCCAAACTTAACTGTTGTTAACATAAATCAAAATATTTTATTTACTTGGAAACAAAATTAAGAGCCTTCAACTGTTGAAGGTAATGCTGAGTGTATGAAGAATTACTGGAATTAAATGAACTTTTACACGAGTAGAAACACTGAAACTAATCTCTGTATATTTTGCTTTTTTTATGCAGATACGTGGGACTGCATAGCTACTTGCTTTTTCATAGACACAGCACATAATGTTATTGATTACATTGATACCATATGGAAAATACTAAAGCCTGGAGGAATATGGATAAATGTAGGCAAGTGTGACCAACGTCTCTACCTGCTAGCCCTGACTTGCATTCAATCACATATTAAACGTAGTAGTACTTGAAAAGATGAGGATGAATGCATTTGTGCCAAAAATCTGTGCATCTAAGCTAGAGGCATCTAGGGCTTGGAAATTATCTGAGATATATCCAGATGTTTGCTAGTTATAATCAAGTCAACACCATGTAATTTTAATTATTTTTTTAATGAAGACCTAAATTTTACCAGTGGCAGATTTTTGCATTAATGTGTCAAATGCTTGTTATTTGACAAATGTAGCATCCTGTATACTTTTTTGCTATTTTCCTGAGAAAATAGAACTTGTTCTGTGTGTAATTATACCCTTGCATTTTTTTTTCTTAATCTATTGAGTAATTTGTACTGTGCATCTAAGCCGAAGCTTTGGGAATGAGATTTATATATGCCTTGCTTAAAAATAAAAGAGACTTAATCTAAGACTTTCATGGTGAAATAATGGCAGACAAAACTCAGGAGTTAAATGGTGGAAACTGATCAGTGAGTGGGCACCAGTTCTGGCCAGTCACAGAATGTAAGCAGAGCTGCTGAGTAGACTCCTGCCTTCTGTTCTATAGAGACAGCAGTGATGCTATGGTGAAGAAACTATAAGATGCAGAAAACACAGTCTGGTAGGAAATGAGACTTCATTGTTGGATAAGCAGCTGAATTAATTTGTTTTCATTTTGCATCAATTCTGAAAGTCATAAAAATTTTTGAGTGATAGAAATACGATATTTTGCCTGCATTTGAATATGTGAGTCTGAATAGAGGTAGTTTTTGCAGTTTCAGTATGAGTTTTTCATTTTTAAAACATTTTTTGTCTTTTTGATAGCCTTTTCTGTTTTATCTGTATACTCTAGGTCCTCTCCTTTATCACTTTGAAAACTTGGGAAATGAACTTTCTATAGAATTAAGCTATGAGGATATAAAAAATGTTATACTGCAATATGGATTCCATATGGAGGTAAGAAGATGCTCCAGTTTTCAGTGAATACTATTGGTATAAACCAGACAAACTGCTCTGAATAAACCTTACTTTAAATTTACATCATCATAATGGCATATACTAATAAAATAGAGAATTAAATGTTTGTTGCAAATCACTTGCTTTCCTCCTTTTTTAAGAAGTGTATAGATCTTGAAATTTAGTAGGTATATGGGAATTTCTTACTAAGAGAAACTTCTGTACTTCTTGTAGAGAAAGTGTTTTGAAAACTGCTGCTTTTTTTTTTCCAGGTGGAGAAAGAATCTGTAATGTCAACTTACACTGTGAATGAACTCTCCATGATGAAGTACTACTATGAATGTGTGTTGTTTGTGGTGAGAAAACCAGAATAGGAGTGGTCTGAATAGGTTTATCAATAAAAAAATGTTGGCTTGAAAGCTGGAAATGAAAGTAGGATGGACTGAGGGGATATCTGGACGCAACCTCAAATCAGTGGTGCCTTCTTCCTTATAATAGGATTTAGATAGTGTCTATTTTCTTAATATCTCTATTGCTATCTAGACATGTGCTATGCCGTGCATATTTGTAATATACTTGTGAAAGCGAGGAGGAAATATTCATGTATGTTGTGCTTTGGAATGCGTTTTAAAAATAAAAGCAAAAATGTGTTATTGAGAACAAAATTGTTTGCCATTAACTAGGGTAATTGTCCACATATACTGCCACATTTTTCATATATTTATAATTTTTTTCTACTTCTTGATGTTAGAGGTGCTTACTCTACTAGCTGTGTCACATTTCTAAACATACACTTAAATTATGAAGTCTGAAATGGTTGCAAAGTGATAAAATCATTCTTAATAGATAAAATAGCCATCAGAGCTATTAGCATTTTCTGTGGAGCTGAAGTACATTATTACACAAATTCTAATCTTTGACTGTACTAGTGTTAACAATTTAATGAAAACACAGAACCTACAGGCAATTTGCAATCTGTGTGAGTGAAAGCAGAGTACCGAGTGAATAAAAACTAGCACATCGCAGAGAAACCATTTGTTAACCTCAGTTCAGGAATATCACCAATTTTGATTAATCTCTTAATGTTGAAACTGAAATATATTATATGCTTTGTCATCTAAAAATACATTGATTTTTTTGAGTCACCTACTTACTACTTAAGCCAAAACAGTCAAGTAGGATTTTTGTTAAACATAATTAAAAAGATCTTGTTACACCTTGAGCTCTTTTCTTTTTTTAAAGCTGATAACATAGCTGAATTATCCATGCCACATTTTGGTAATGCAGCAGAAAAATCCCTGTTTCTCAAGGGACGGAGGGGGAAGTTATATGTAAATAATATGTGCTGTAACCTAATTGTCTCTACCTGAGGTAGCATGTGCAGGCCAGTTGGTAAACAGTTTCCTTGTAACTTCAGGGACTTGACCGTTGTGACTTAGTGACTTCTTGGTGTTTGTTCTTCAGAGGAGAGCAGCGAGGCTGGGGAAGGGACTAGAGGGAAAGTCCTATGAGGAGAGGCTGAGGGAGCTGGGGGTGTTTAGCCTATGGAAGAGGAGACTCAGGGGGACCTTATCACTCTCTATAACTGCCTGAAGGGAGGGTGTAGTCACGTGGGGGTCGGGCTCTTCTCCTTGGCAGCCAGTGACAGGACGAGAGGGCACGGCCTGAAACTGTGTCAGGGAAGGTTTAGGTTGCATCTCAGGAAACATTTCCTTATGGAGAGGATGATCAGGCACTGGGATGCACTGCCCAGGGAAGGAGTGGAACCACCGTCCCTGGAAGGAGAGGCTGGATGTGGCACTTAGTGCCATGGTCTAGCTGATGTGGTGGTGTTGGGTCATAGGCTGGACTTGATGATCTCAGAGGTCTTTCCACCTTCAATAATTCTGTGATTCTGTTTCTTATCCTAGTGTTTGGGGTTTTTTTCCTGGTAGATGTGGCTTAGGTGAATTGTGATAATATACAAGAAGCTGAATCTTCTGTCACTTAGCAGTTATGTACATGAGAAAACATTGATCAGTAATTGCTGTACTGAGAGGAGTGTCATGTAAGCAATCTAATTTTCTTAAGATGCTGGCTACCTTAAGGCACCATTTTCATCCATTTTCAAAAATGTCTTTAAAATGTGGAAAACATGATAAAGAATAAGAGTGGGGTTTGTTTGGGTTTTTTTGGTCAAGACGGCACTGGACAGTAGCTTGTTTGTTGCCCAATATTTCTAGTTCATCTCTCTTTAACAGATCTGTTACTGGCTTTTGCATTTTTCCCATTAAGGCCAGAAATTAGTGCCCTTGTTTCTAAATTGAAGGTCTGCAAGGAGGGAAAACACAAATATTTTTTTATAGTTTCAACAAGAGATTTGGCAGGGTATATACCCAGCACATGCCTGTGTATGTTTTGATTTTGTGCCCCTTTCTTCTCATAATCCTTACTGATATTAAAGGTTTCTGGTCTACAGAAGTTTTCTGTAGAACTCTTCCTCAAAGTGCACCACCAAGGTTTATCTCCATAAATGAACTGCAGAGTTCTACTCTGTTCCAAGAAAAATGTGTTTAAAGCTGGAACACTGCCACGCAAGTAGATAATTGATTTTCAAGCTACTTGAAATATGACACGGTTAGGTGAATGTCTATTATGCCACTACTGAGTAGAGTGTATATATGTAATACTGCCCCACTTTTGCCTCCTCCCCAGGGTGCACTTGAAATGTGCAGTTCCTGGTTTTCCCAAATAGGCAATTGGAACTCCTGCTTTCTGGTTGCATGTCAGTATCCTTTGTTCTGGTGGTTTTGTTCTTTGCCACACCACATTGTCAAAAGTGCCATTTTTGTCCTGTTTTTGAAAAATACATTATTAACTTGTGTTGGGTATAGCGTGATGTGCTTCTATTTCTAATCTAGAAAATGCCTGTTCTCCTTTTAAGTTGCTTCAAGAATTAGAAGCAGAACAATCTTGTGAATAAGCTGTGTGAGTTAGTAGTAATTTATCTGCAATTTATCCTATTTATGAATTCTTAGAAATAATCACTTTTCTATGCACAGGAATAATTGTGTATTATTGAACGTGATCACATTCTTCAGTTGTATACACAGGGGAAAAAACTGTTCAGGTCACCATTTAATTTAGGTCAAAATTAAACTGTGTGGGGATTGGATGTAAAATAAAATGCTGCATAATCTTCAGTGTAATACTTCTTTGTATCAAGTTAAGTTTGGCTAATGTAAAGTGTCCTGTTTATTTATTTATATGTAGTTCACTCTGAAATGAATCATGAAGGTAAGAAGGGGAAGCTTCATGTCTTTGCATGAACATCCCACGATTTTTAGGTGCGTGTAATGGACTTGATTTTTCTTGGGTATTAAAAGTTTGCCGTATGACATGACCTCGCTCATGTTTGACTGTATCTTTTACCGTTATGTAAGGCATACTTTTTGTTCCCCTTCCCCTCACCGAGGGCGACCCCAAGCGCCTGCGACCCCGCCCCCCCGGTCTCACAGACGGGGCGG